ATACAAATTGGTTAAGATATTAAAAAGTTTTATTAGAAGCGTTTTTTTATTTACTATGTAAAAATCTAATATACCACGTAGATCATATGAAAAATGATCTACGTACACCCTACCCTTAATGTGGTTAATACCAATTTGAAATTAAAAAACATTAATATATAGATTTTACCAAAGGTTTAAAGTTCTATAAAAGTTATTAATAAGACAGTGGCTGATGAATATATTCAGGAATTGCAACATTCTATTGCTATGGCTCGTAAGATAAAGAACTACCCAAGCCACATGTCCGTAGAGAAATTCTCGTCACAATTGGAAACGTCATAGAATCTTATCTATCTTATCGTGGCATTGTTAAAATTCTGAATTTTGTACGTACGTACACAATCTGATTAAAATACTCTATTGTCAGATATCTCTGAATAGAACTGAAACGTTCTATTATGCATGCTTAGATAAAAAAAAAACTTGTTTGTCTTCCTGCTTTATATGGTTTTGTGTGACCTTGATCATGTGAATGGCGGACTCCACCGATTAACTATATTTGCTTGACATTTCTTTAGTCGCGGACTGTCATTCGTAAGCATTTTCGATAATTCTGATACAAACATGAGCGATGGCAGGCATTCTACTTCATCACTACAGTCTTCAGGTACTGAGTTTTTTGGTTTGAGAAAGTACCGTAATTACTAGTAAAGCATCCAAATAACTGATTTTTTTTTCGCGTTGAAAACGCTGTCCAGTAGGCGTTACTTCCGCTGAAGAATTATCCGAAAAATATCAAAAATTATTCGCTGAATTTTCTCGGTAAGTTATGGATATTTCATATTTGTTTTTATTCGATTTCACCTTAACTTTTTTGAATTATTAGGATGAAAGCACAACACTCTGTATTAAAGAAAGCCGTTATTAAGGTTTAAACTTATTGGGTTCAACTTAAGAAAATTTACGGAATTATTACGATAAGACAATAGAATGACAATTAATTTCTTTTAATAGGAACAAAAAACTATTACTTCATTACAAGATGAATGCAAAACCAAGGAACAAGAATTGCGTACCGTATGTTTAATGAATTGTTGATATACTTTGTCAAATTATTGAGAATTCTTCGCAATTAATTCAAAATTTATGTCTATTTGTGTAGTCACTACAACAACTTGATCTTTTAACTTTTCACAATCAACGTTTAACCAAACGTATTGAAAGCTTACAAGATTCGAGTGCTGCGGTACAAATTTTATTGAATCTGAATGTATCTGGTCTTAATAACATTGTAATTTTCGAATTAACAAATTTGATTCTTCTTATTAGAGGTTATCACCCGGTTGGTTAGTGGGTTCGGCCAAAAAAGAACTTGAAAAATCAAAAGTGACTTTAGAGGCTACCAATATAGAACTAAATAGGAAAATTGAAGAAAATGGTATAAAAATTTGAATTTAATACTATGTGTTAGGCATGTAATTTATAATAAATTTCGCTGCTTTAAATTTCTATTAATGATATCGATTACATTTTTCAGAAAAGTTACATAAAGAACTATTTGAAGTTAACAGTTTATATACACAACATGTGGCTTCTCTCCAATCTAAGATATCGGAATTGGAGAAAAAAACGGAAGAACTTCAGGTACCTCTAAGACATTCAACCATATTATATTTTGTTAAACCATTAATTCATATAAACGTTGGTTATATAGATCGAATTAACAAGATCTCATCTTGCTAGCGAAGAGGCTTTGAGTAAAATACGTCAAGATAAGCGTGATGTTGATAATGAGCTCGACCAAACAAGATCGGAGCTACGCGAGTAAGTTTGCATAAAGATTTTCTTAATCTTGGAAGAGTTCGGAACCGGTTTTACGTTTCATATGTTAAAACCAATTAAACTGGTTTAACAGATGAAAAGCAAAACTGGTTCCAAACTCTAGCTTGGATGTCACAATATCATTTTTATACTAAATACTTTATTCTTGTTATAGAACAAAGGCGCTTATGGAAAAGAACGAGCAGAAATTGAAAGAGGGTGATGATGTATTGCAAGCTGAAGTTATTGTACTTCGAGATACGTTGGAAATAAATTTGGGTCTTTCATACGAATCACAGATAGATCAATTTAGTGTCAGTAATTTATTGCATTTTTTATATTCACTTGAAATTTATGTCGATTGAATTTTTCTTTTTTTCTCTTTACAGGCATTATGTGAAAAATTTGACAACGAATCAAATGAACTTATCGAAAGTTTTAAACAATTGCAATCAAATGCCCGTGATTATTTAAAATCACTTAAAGAAAAGGTAAAAAATTGTTATTTTCATACTTTTTTTTTTTTTTTTAACGTGTTAACTAAATTATACTGACGTGTCATGTGATACAGTCAGACTCATCTTATGAACTAGGCTTGAAAGTTAAAAGCGCTAGTTTAGTATGGCAACAAAATTTACAAAAACTAGTAGTAAAATTGGCTTCTGCTCAAAGTATGCAAAAAAAAAAAAGATATCGCGAACTGCTGCGCTACATATTTCAAAAGACTTTTTAATAATAATATTTTCTTTTTTAATAGGCAGAATAACAGAATTAACTTTAGATAAAGAAAATCTTATTAAAGTCAACGAATCTGATTCGACTAAGATCAAGGATTTAGAAACTCAAATTTCTCAGCTGAGAGAAGAGTTAGATAGACAAAAGGTATACATTCCTGATAACTTAGAAGATATGTAACCGACATTATTTAATTCAAGCAATTTATATTATTTTAATTTACTCAGGCAACATATAATGGTCTAGCGACAGAAATGAATCAGCAACAAGGAGGTAATAACGTAGAAAACGGCGTTACTAGTAATGAGGTAACATCTTTACTTGTCAACGGATTGAACGGAATATCGTCGAATGGTGTAAATCATCATGATACATTAGCCAATAAAGATAATTCTGAAACAAGAGAAAATAATATAAATGTCACTTCACAAGAGGAAAATGACGATGACGACGACGACGATAATGGGGTTTGTTGTTTTTAAAAACATTTATAAAATCGCTACCTTATAATCCAGGATTATCATTAACGAAGAACAATTGACTATGATAGTCATTTGTTTATCCTCATGATTCTGAAAAAGGAGAAAGTACTGAACCTTCAGACCAACCAATTAAAGATACCTCACGCCCAACAGCTATAACTGTTATGACAACACCAATAACAAGATCTACAACTGACGACATTGATATTAACGCAAATCGCAATGGTAATTCAAGTATTCTCGAGTTGGAGCGAGATATAGGGGTAATTAGATCATTTTATTTTTAATGATTACACATTCTTTTAATAGTTATTTTATCGTTAAATAATGATCATTTTCGTTTATAATTAGAGAGTTACTAAAAGTGAGGGTGATACTAGAAAACGAGAGGCTCTTATTAAAAATCATTATGAATCTAAAATAAACCAGTTAACAGAGCAGGTTTATATTTTATTATTTATTGACAGCATGTTTACTATATTTAACATGGCCTCTAATCTTGAATAAATTTATAGTTACAATTGTCAGATAGTAAATCATTGCGATTATACAAAGCTTCAAAAATCATTCAAGGAAGATTAGCTGAAGCGGATGAAGGAAAATCACGAGCGGAACAAGAAAAGACAAGGCTACAAAACGAATTGGACCAATTGAAGGTAATGAATGCTCTAAGGGGATACACTGAATTATCTCTACTTGTTCTATTTACCGTGAATTTATTTGACGTTTCTTTATAATAGGAAAAATTGCGCGAAGAACGTGAAAATTTCAAAACTCAAATTGATGAAATGACAAAATGGATCAATAAACAAGACGAAGCTATTGAAGACAAAGAGCGCCAATTAAAAGATTTTAAAGCTGGGACTTCACGTTATGAATAAATAATGAAAGTTGTTTATTTGTACATTATTCACATTGTATCTTTACATGTATTATAGCAATCTGTAAAAAGAATTGTTCTATAGGTAGATAAATTAGAGAACTTATGGTTTTGTTTTTAATGTATTCTGTTTTGTATCAAACATTATAGTATTTTAAAAAAACAATTGTGTTTATGAAAAAGTGACACCTAATTTTAAAACGTTGGGATCGGAAAATTGTATAATAAAAGGTTGAATGGTTTTTATAGTTTTTACAGCGTTACCATTATTCCTGGGACACCTTATGAAAAATTAACCGAATGATTATTCTGCCGATTCGATAAATTATTGATTTCGGCATGATCAATGTAATGTTTATTATTTACGAAGGTAGTCTAAAGCTAGTCGATTTGTAAATTAAATTCACGCCATTAAGTCTTAAGATATTTTGTATCATTCAGGTTTAATAGATGTGATTTTCTTACAAGTGGCGGAAGTCTTTCAACGCATTCATATCTTCGAAATTGGTTGAAAACTCGACTTATTGAAGATCTGCTAACACAGCAGTTGTTCGAATTTATAACTCTTCTAAATTTTTTTCGACTATTTTCCAGTGAATATGCTTCTAAAGTATAATACTTAACTAGATATAGAGTTATATCGATATTGGTTATCTGGTCATTATCGATTAATAATTGTCACTGCTGCACTATAAATAGAGGTCATTTAAAGCCTTACAAATCGATTAGCATCTACGTACGTACGTACGTACGTACGTAACCTGGGCTTTAGACCATCTTTGTAATTACATTGATCATACCGAAATCAATAACTTATCGAATCGGCAGAATAATCATTGGTTAATTTTTCACAAGGTGTCCCAGGAATAATGATAACAGCTGTAAAATTTTACTTTGAAAAATCTATACTTGTCTGACATACTAGAATCGAATCGCTTTTGCATGTAGGTAAAGAAATTTATAAAGTTCGTTAAAAGAAAAAAATTACTAGTTTAAGACTAAAGCTCGCAAAGTATTTTTAATCATTATTAAAAATGCACCTATGGTGCTTAACACCTATGCATACATTATCTCAAAACTGGCTAATTAAGCGGTGTAAGGTGCTCTAAGTAAAAATGTTCTCCCAAAAAATCCTTCACAAACCCTAAACCTAACTATATATATAAAAAAAAAAGAAAATTTTAATAACATAACGATGATAGGTGTTTGAACACCATAAAACATTTTATATAATATCGATATTTCTTAATTGAAAAAAAAAAAACGGATGACAGTCCAACCATCTCACTTAGCAACCTCTACAACCAATCACTCAAGTGTGCTACCTCACTGCCACCCAATGCTGCAAGTTTTCCCTGCTCTGTTTCCAGCCTCGGGCATTATCCCTGCTATTTAAGAACCTCCTGATCCAAATTTACATTTAGACCAGAATGTTCACATCGGGTTCAAGTGAGACACTACTCTCAACGTGCGGTGCAAAGAGCTGTGGACCCAAGTGAGGGTTATTCCACCACCCTGTCCTCCAGAAGCAGAGTTACAGTCAACTGCCAAATTGACCGACAACAATATAGGTATTTCTAAGTTTATATATTAGACAATTTTCATATCAACAAAAATTATGGGATTGCAATATTGAATGACTTGAGTGATTGGCCATATTTAACGTCAGATGACTTGCACTTGACGCGAGAAAATGCATTTTTCGATCGATCAACTAGTTAAAATCAGCCGTGACATCACCTTTTGAAAACAAGTCATTCTGTGAGTCCTACATTTGACCGAGAAAAATGACCGAACAAAAACCTATTCTGCTTTGTATGGGTAATCCTTTATTGGATATTTCCGTTGTTGCTGACGAAACCCTTCTTAAGAAGTAAATATATCCATTAAATAAGAAATACTATTATATCAACCTCATGGATTTTTTTCTGAATTTAGATACGGTCTGAAAGCCAATGATGCTATTCTTGCCGAAGAGAAGCATATGCCTTTGTATTTATTTTAAAATTCATCTTTTTATTAAACAAAGTAAATTTTACATCGATAGCTGAGATTTTAAATTGAAAAATCAAGGTATGACGAGTTAGTTAAGTCTTACGAACCTCACTATGTAGCTGGTGGTGCTGCTCAAAATGTTGCTCGAGGTGCTCAGGTAAATTGTTATGTCAACCGAAATTACGTTTATTATAATTAAAATGGTTGACATATGTTTCTGTTAATTTAGTACATTCTTCAGCCAAATTCAACTGTTTATTTTGGATGTGTCGGTAATGATAAATACGCTGAACAGATGCGTAAGGCTGCGCAGAACGAAGGTTTAATTGTTGATTATTTGGTTACCAATACACACCCAACTGGTACTTGTGCTGTTATTATTACTAATAATGATAGGTATTTAAAAAAATTTTCCTGTTGATTACTATGTCCAAGACTAGTTGTTTAATTTCATGTTTATTAAAGATCTCTGGTAGCAAACTTATCGGCTGCACAAGAGTATAAAGATTCCTTACACCTTGAACTACCTGAAAAATGGGAAATTGTAAAAAATATAAAATTTTATTATATTACGGGATTTTTTATCTCATCTTCGTATAATTCGATGTTGAAGATTGCTAAGCATGCGGCTGAAACAAACAAGGTAATAATAATGTCTAGCCATAGATGTGTATTTTTAAAGATTGCTTATAAGTTTAACCTTCTATTATTTTTAGGTTTTTACATTCAATTTATCAGCTCCATTTATATGTCAAGTTCCTCAAATGAAAGAAAGTTTAAGCGAAATTGTTAAATATTGTGATATCATTTTTGGTAATGAATCTGAGGCTGAAGCTTTTGCCGTTTCTGAAAATTGGGAGGTAAATTAATATTCATTTCTGATATTCATTTCAAATATTCATGATCAAGTATCATAATAACAACAGTATTACTCTTTCATTTAATAAATAGACGAAAGAACTTAAAGCAATCGCTTTAAAAATAGCGAATCTTTCTAAAATTAACACATCACGTTCTCGTGTTGTTATAATTACTCAAGGTTCTGAGCCCACGATTGTTGCAAAACAAAGCGATGGTAGTGTAAATGAATTTTCCGTAATCCCAATCAATGTTGAAGAAATCGTTGATACAAACGGCGCTGGTGATTCTTTTGTTGGCGGGTTCTTAAGTCAGTATGTGCAAGGAAAAACAATCGAAGAATCTGTTAATGCTGGCCATTGGCTGGCTAATATTAACATTAAACGTGTGGGACCTACTTTTCCAGAAGAAAAAATCCCTTATTCTTCCTGATTGGTTATGAGATCATTTTTTGTTTATTTAAACAATTTGATTTACTATTCTATTTAAAAATAAATAGAATATTGAAAATTAAAAGTTGTTTTTTATATGAATTAATAAATTTGTAACTTGAGATTCTGTTGAAATTAATTTCACAAAATTTCACTAAATCATACCAGTTTAACCAATAGTGATAAAATTATTTCGTCATTCTCTTCTATTATTTATAACCATGATTACTGTGATCATATTTCATAAAGCCAACCAAATTTCAAGATTAGGGTGTAACGTAAAGTCAAAACAAAAAGCTCCTTTTTTTTAATAATTCAAAATTTCGACTGTGAAATTATTTTGTATATTTTAACAAAGAAAATTGCTTGCTAAATTTTGATATACCGGTAAATTATATATTTTTTTAGCTCTAATATCATTTGAATCTTAATCTTAACTACAGGGTTTATTTTGTTGTTTTGATAATTGTTATATGTATTTGATCTTAGTTATAACTTTTGTGTTTTATATAAACCAGTCAATTTTTTTAGCATAATTTATTTTGGAATATTTCTTAGAGTATTTCTATTTCCACCTCCATTTTTGCTATTGCCACTCCAGATATCAAAAAGTGCACCGGAATAGGCATTTTTATTAAGAAAATCCTCCCTTTAGTCTTAATAAAAGTTGTTCATCAGGCCTTTCTGGTTCTAATGGTAGTAAAATCATTAAAATCGGATCAGTAGGTCCTAAGATATTTGTATCCGAAGTTAATTAACTTTTTATTTACTTTTAAAGCAAAACTATTGGTTCGATTTTAATGATTTTATTCCAGAAAGACCTGATAAACAACTTTTATTAAGACCAAAAAGAGGGTTTACTTAATAACAATACCTCTTCCAGAGCACTTTTTTAAATTTTGGGGTGGCATTAGCAAAAATGGGGGTGGAAATAGCAATACTCTTATTATATTTTACAAAAAAAAATTAGATTTTAGAATTTAATATTTACCAAAGATAAAATTTGTTTTTAATTAGATTTTTTGTTAAGTTAGCAAGTTGCGATATTACAGATTAATATTTAAATAATTAAAATTATTATTATTTAGTGTTAAAGTTCAAGATAGTATTAAAATTAGTATTAGAATATATATATATACAAAATTAAGTATTAAAAATTTTATTTTATTTTTTTTTTGTTGTTAAGGTGACTATACATGCCACCAAAATAGGTTTTCAAAAAACCCTATTTTGTCTTCATTAGAGCAATTTAAAATTTTTTATATGCAAGAGCAAATCTAATTTAGATAATTATGTTTTTTATAATTTCGTTTCTTTAAAAAAAGTGTCAAAAAATTTTATCTTTTAAGTAAAGTAAGTCAAAAACAATTTTGTCTTTAAATTTTAATTTTATACCCAAAACCTAAAATAATTTCATTGGCATGTATAAAGGTGACCTTCTTGCTACACTGCTCTTTATTTGAATATTAGTAGTATTTTTAACTATCAGAACATTTCAATGGCTATACATATTTGTAGAGTACAACTAGCTATATCTGCACTTTTTGAGCATCTATTTAAGTATCTATTTATCACTAAGTTCTACACTAAATGTTGTACCTGCACCCCACTAAGAAGGATATCTATTTAAATTCTCTGCGCCTATGTACCAACCCTTTTATATTCAAGTGATAATATTTAGTACCACCTTATTTTCATATATTGGTTCAAGGCTTTAAAGCAGTCTCAACTATTTTAGAGAGTCCTTTAACCTCAAAGTAAACCTGCTAAAGCCTTCTATATCTATATTTAGGCTGATCTAAGCTTCAGTAACTTACATTTAGTCTAAGAACAAGTACTTGCAGCTTTTATTTCCACTACCATTATCTACTTCTGTTTTTATAGAGTTTACTCATACTTTAGCTCTCACTGTTTTACCAAACTCCTAATCTAGATAGCCTGATTTGGTCCACAAGTTATGTTATCTGCTTTTTTACTGGCTTAACCCAGATACTGGTCTATGCCCTTTTCTTTTGATCGATTCTGGTGGCCTTGTTGGTATAGTGCTTGTCAAACACCTAGTCATCATTCAAATCTACAGCTTTTTGGTCTCTTTTTAGACTTTCCAGAACCATTGAAAGTATGTGTTATTTCTCTACTTAGAACTTGTCAAGCAAATTCCTATTCAAGACTAGTTTCACAGATTTATACAGATCACAGAGATTTATTGCGAGTTATACTGCCTTTTATCAGTTTGTATTTCTTTATATAACTTCTTTATTACATAAATGTCCTATGATTTTTCAAGTCTGTACTATTACCTCTGATAGAGCTTGCAAGATAAGTCGTCTATTAAATAATCATTACTTCTTACACCTATTTGATCTGATCATCGTTATAAGATCTATATCTCAACATCTAAATAGTTATCATTATACAGAAGAATTTGATTTTTTATTGTCAATGGGAATTGAACTCTGGATGTACCACTTGAAGATGACAACTTGATCACTTTACTAAGTTGTCACACCTTTCGTATTAAAAATTTTAATTATAAGTTTAAGACTAGTTTATATAATGAAATTTTAAAATAATGTTTTTGCTATATTTCAAAAACTTGTAAATTAAATATATGGGCTAGGTGCTGAGAAAAGGGACCAAATTGACAAAAAAAAAGATCTTCAGAAAATCAAATTTTATATTATAAATCTCATAATAAGTTATAAGAAAATATAAACTTTAAAGAGCTATATTGTAAAATTTTATTAATATAACTACTTATATGTCTTAAGTGAAAAGTGATTCTAATCTTATTCTAAATTAATTTATATAAAAAAATTACTTTTGAAAAAAATGTCAA